TACTGTATGCGTTTCAAGTCAAGTTGGATGTGCCATGAATTGCCAATTTTGCTACACTGGAAGGCAAGCCTTATTTTTCCCTGTAGATAGCAATTTGATGGTTATGTTTTACTTTTACTGCAGCTTTATTATGCATGATTATTTTCCAGAATGGGTCTTAGGAGACATCTTACTGCCGCAGAAATAGCGGAGCAGGTGGTTTTTGCCAGACGCTTGCTCACAGATGAAGTTGGTCCCATCACAAATGTTGTCTTTATGGTAGGTTTACGATTGCATTGATAATTCTAAGGCTTACTTTATTCTTAGCTACTTAGATACCACTTTTGTCTGTCAGATATTTAATTGCGTTTAACTTTCATTTTCTTCGTAGCCATGCTGACAAGACAAGTCAATTTAATAATAGTTATATCTCTTATCCTTGACATTAAAGCATTGTTTTTATTTCGATGTGCAAATGGACTTTATATATATATATATTCATGTTATAGTGCAAGCCAATGTGCTCCTTTCAAACTGTCCTTTGTATTTCCATGATAATGTTGTAGAGTAATGCCTTCACTTTTCCAAATGGTTTCCAAAGTACTTCTGTATATGGTTTCTTATGTGTCAACAATTTGTAGCATGTTTGTGAACCTGTTTTGCAAATGGATGTTCACACGTCCAAATCATGAAATGGAGAAGTAAGAATTTGTTTAACTGGTATTAAACATGGATTTAACAGTTTGGACAACCAAACATGATTGTAGTTGTACTATTCTAAGCTTCTAGTTAAAAGTTTTGATACCTTCACATTATTGATGAAACTGGTACTCAATAGCAGAATTCACATAGTATACAGAGATGTAGAGAGAGAAACTTTCTGTATTAGCTTACTGAGATTTCGAGTCTCAGCACTCAACAGTAAGGAGTTTTGTGAAACTTGTTCTGAAGTATTGATAACAACCTAAGGGGAATCACACAACAAAAGCTGGCGATAGTAGATGGAGAAGCCAAGACCTTATGAACTCCACAATGAAATCATATATTTTCAATATAAGACGAAATTCTCACATACCTAGCCATTGGATATTAACATCCACCACACCTTGCACCCTCGGCACCTATGCAGGCTGGCTGTGCACTAGTCTGCAGTGAACATTGCAATGTTGGCATCACCACCACCCACGGTTGTGCCTTAGACAGTATGGAAAGGTCTAGTACCAGTTTATGCAATTGGGGGTACTCAGAATTACAGAGAGAGAGAGAAACAGAAAGAAAAATCCTATTCTGCATTAACTTTTTGAGATTTCTAGAGTCTAAGCACTTTCCACCGCGCAATGAATTTTCAGAAACTGAGTGTCTTATCTGCATGGCCATTTGTAGCAAACAAACTCCTAACTGCATGGCTTCCTGATTTAACTGCCTATGTAATTGACTTGTGAGTCAGTTTGATCTGTTATCTTCCTATTCCTCCTAGAATGCCCTTCCGTAATATGGGCATTATTGCTAATGCTAACAATTATCCCTCAGTCGCTATTTAGACAAATGCGAAAGCAAGGCTCTCTGTTAGTCTATTTCTGTAAGTATTTAGCATTATGAAAAATGACATTTTTTCTTTAAAAATTGTCTCATTATGGATCTCTGCATCTTCTAGTACCTGCTATCAATTCTGTTGATGCTTCCAAATAATGTGTTGTAGTTGTAGAGATTGGAAGGGGAAAAAAATGTTAATAGAACTCCTGGTCCTGTGTCTTCTTATTGATAGGATGCTAATAGCTCTATACATATTTAGGGCATGGGGGAACCACTTCATAACATCGATAATGTCATTAAAGCTGCAAATATAATGGTAGATGAGCAAGGGCTTCACTTCAGCCCTCGCAAGGTCACCATTTCAACCAGTGGGCTTGTTCCACAGCTCAAACGTTTTCTCCATGAATCAAACTGTGCATTAGCTGTTAGTTTGAATGCAACTACTGACGAGGTAAATTTCTTATTACTTTGCCGTTATTGGTAGCTAGATCACCCTTGAAGTTAGGCATGAAAATGCAAGGATAGGAGTAGAGGCATGTTTTGGTCACATTTGAATCTAATATGTCAGGTAAGAAACTGGATCATGCCTATAAATCGAAAGTATAAGCTAGATTTGCTTCTTCAGACACTTCGAGAGGAGCTTCGCTTCAAAAACAACTTCAAAGTTCTATTTGAGTATGTGATGCTTGAAGGAATTAATGACAGGTTAGCTTCTTGTTTTAGCAAATAAAACTTACGAACGTGGATTGTCGTGCGATGGATCATATGCATATTTATAACTGCGCATAAAGGACTTTGTATATTAGCAATGCGTCTTCGTTATATGGACATATTTTATGTATGAATTGCATTAATGATTATAAGAGCTTGAGTTGGAATGTTGTAATGAATTTTAGATTGCATGACGTTCTGTACTATATTGGTGGCTATATGTAGAGAAATGTTAAAACTCTATTTTTCGTATGTTCTCAGTTTCCTTTGCTTTTTGATCCTGATTAAGGGTAACATTTGCCCTTTGGTCCTTCTCTATTCACTGCCCTCGTCAAGCTCTCTCTTGTCACTCTTGATGATTACCATGCATATGTAATGTTATTAATATGACTTTCATTGAAGCCCCATCTCCTTGACCCAAGCCCCTTCCCCTTTTCCAATATTCTGTGTCAACATCATTTGTGCTTTAAATTCCTTCATTGTGATTGTTTGATACTTTTCATTTCCTTGTTCCTTTTTTCTTCGTAACTTTTCATTTTCATTACGAATCACGAAGATAAACTACGATTTTTGTCTTGGTTCAAATTTAACTTTTCTGGTTTCCCCATTTGACCTTTATTATATGCTTAAAAGTAATTTTGTTGCCTGATGTACATATTTACGGCAGTGATGGAGATGCAGAGAGACTTGTCGAGCTTGTGAAGGGCATTCCTTGCAAGGTTAATCTAATCTCATTCAATCCTCACAGTGGATCATTCTTCAGACCAACCAAAGAGGAAAGGATGATTGAATTCCGTAATATGTTGGCTGGGGCAGGATTGACAGTCTTTTTAAGACTTAGTAGAGGTGATGATCAAATGGCTGCCTGCGGTCAATTGGGTAAGCCTGGCACCATTCAAGCTCCATTGCTTCGTGTACCTGAGCAATTTCAAATGGCGATTGGAAGTTCAGCTTGATTCTTTGTGGAGGTTCTGCTGGTAATTGATCTTGCAGATAAATACTGTTAACAAAAAATTCCGTAGGACACTTGGAGTGGGGGTAGCTATGATGACTTCCTACTGAAAATGCAAAGACGAAGATTTTCTGTCTCCATGTTGTACTTTCCCATTTTATAGTTAATTGATATTATTTTATAAATGTGAAGGATCCAAATTCCGTACAGGCTAAAAATAGGATATAATAATAAAAAGAGATATAAATAAAGGACAAATATAATAATGTAGAAAAAAATTAGAGTTATTATTTAATGATACATATTCTCGATAAATTGTTTTCAAAAAGTTATTTTCAAAATAATTTTCCTAGAGTAGTGTTTAATAATTACTATCAACAGGTAACTTAAAGGATTTAAATACAAGGATACTATAATTTTTTATTTATTTAAATATTTAATTATAAATTATGTCTAATAAATATTTTTAAGGATGATAAGATTATTTACTCTTGTAACTTTAAAAGTTAAAGCCATTGTGATTCTAATGGGTTGACATTGTATAATTTTTTACACTGATAATTTATAGAAATTAAACTTTAATTTAAATACATGAGTATTTTCAACTTTTAGCGTTGTTAGTCATTGCTTCAAAGAAATTAGTTCAACATAAAATAATATTCAACAAATAATTAAGAAAATGAAGTGGTAATCAGTAAATTATGCCAAAATATTTAATATTATTAGTATAAATCCTTTACATGCTAATAATGCATGTGATTAGCTGTTTTTAAAATATTCCTCTCGTTAGAAGCTAGTCATAATTAATGACAAATCTAAATTTTATGTTTTACTTTTGACCAATTTCTGAGAATTTTTATCTTCCGACTAAAAATACTTTGATAATTTTATAATATTAGAATAATTAAATACATTTGGCTGAAATTAACGTTAATATCAATGCGACGCAAATGACTCTCTTAGAGTATGTTATTAACTAAAAACATCTAAGAAATTTTGCACATCTTCGATGTATTAGAGCTATGTAAGTAATAATATCCCTATTAATGTAGATAATTAGATGCAATTCCACCTTTAACTAAGTGAAAAATCATGGCAGATGGCAGAGTTAAATGTTGCATTTGATGGATGGTTAGTATTCCATGCAATGACCATATCTTGAATTGTAATGATTCAAATAGTATCAAATCAAAGATAGCATCCTTATTTTAAACCATCATGCAAACACGTTAGTCAAGTTTAGATATCTAAGGGGTCAAAAGAAGCCTAGACCATGACTAGGAGGACAAATGCTAGTAGTGATCTATCATTAGATCTAATGCTTTTAAAATTAATGGTTAGGATTATTTTTTACTTTTTTTCACCCTCTTTTACATTTTTGTCCCTACCTCCCACTTCTCAGCATTCACTCTTCTCAGCAATCCCCCACCCCAACTCTTTCATGCATGCTCCATGGACTTGACAAACAAACACAAGAATCTGGGAGGAAATAAGCATGTGGAGGTTGTAAAATTCAATTATTTAAGTATAAATAACGGGTAGATATGAAGCTATTTTACTCTAATGGACAGCTTTGTACCGTTTCAAACTATACATTTGGAAAGACCACCTAGCCCACAAGAAATGGTTAGAAAGTGTCTATTGTTATTTGTTGATACCAAACAGACAGCCATCCTTTCTTGTAGCAAGTAACCAGGTCGTAAGAAACTCTATCCAAAAATTACCAGCTCAATAGCTGATGTCTGTACAAGGAAAAAAAGCTCACAGGCGCCAACTATATGAAAATATCAACAGATTGTTCGTTCAAGGAAATGAGAATTGCAATTCATGATTGCATGTTACGTCCTGGAATCCTTGAGTCAGTTGAAGGGCCAGCAGATGATGAGGGAGAAGATTCTAAGTCACAATTATCCTGGATTGAATTCTGTAATTTTTCTAAAAGCAATTTACGGATTTTCAATCTCAAATTGGATGCCTCTTCAGGTCTGAACCATCGCTTTCCAAACTGTAAGTTGATAAGTATAAGTCAACAACAAAACCCATTTTTTGAAATAAAATTATCTTGATAAAGAAGCGGGATTGCTATTACCATTGCCAAATCTTTCCTTTTCAGCCTCTCGGGTGCCTCCTCCATGAAACGTTCAATGAAGTACAATACAAAAAGACCACAGTCATACTCATTCTTCTGTTGGGGAACCTGATGCAATGTGTAAATGCAACACGATGGAAATTTTTTAGAAGTAAAAAAATTCCTGTAATTGTTGAAACAATGCAGCATAGTTTTGCTGCTTTCTTTTTTAGCATAAAAAATAAGAATCTATATGCTGGACCTGCAGCATCAGATTAAAGTTTTGAAACAAGTTTCAATGTCTTTCTACGTGAAGGCTAAACGTGATTTTACTGTGATCTGATAGAAACTCAGTTTTCTTAAGGTTCGTAAGAAAAAGAACCTCGAATGTTCAAGCAAAAGTCTCAAGAACTCCGACACCAAATCTATATTAGAGGTCAAATATGCATTTCATTTAGAAAAAATGGCGAAAGATATGTTTGTCTTCAGACTATCATAAATAGAATCACTACGTTAGCACATTATGCTAGATTTACAGTTTGCAAATTTACCGCAATGATTTGAGATTCAATTCTACGAGGAAGGCACTTCCATATTCTGTCTGCAATTGAAACATCCGAAGACACATTTTCCCGATCCATATAGTTCTTTTCTTCAATCAAATAGCTACAATGCATAATTTCACATCATTTAGTTTGACGTTTGAATAAATATAAATGCATATAGCATATACAAAATTGGTTTTCACTGTTCAAACCATCAATTTTTTTAGGTCACAAGGTTTGAGTGAATATTTATCATGGACTTTAACGGTGCTGGCTAAGTGACTAGGTCAGTGATTTTCTCAGAGCAGTTCTTACATTATGTTACAAGGCGAATATAACATAACTAATGCAGATATTCGTGAGAATACAAGTACATTTGGTTGCAACTAGGAATGCTTATAAAATATACAAGTAGATTGCTAACTCTAAAAGTAAGTTTACAAATGTATAAATGTGAATTTGAAATAGAAATTAGATATGTTGTGTAAACATTTATTTCCATTAGCAAATAATATATTCCAATACTGCCCATGAAAATGGTAAATCAAATACGCGATTGTTTTTAAATAAGAGACATCATCTTTGTAGCTTAAAAAAGTGATCAGATAATGATATCTTCTGACTACATGAAGACCTCATCAAAATTTTAGCCAAAAAAAAACATATAAATCTTGCCAACCTTCACAGCCAACATAGAAAGTTATAGCACAGGGTAGAAGAGACAAGATGTGTTTGAGCAAATTATCATTTGTATGGATGAAATGGAAATGTCACATGATGAGATGCAATCATACAAACGCTTCTTTAATCTCACCTTTTAATATTATCAAAAACTGATCTACTAGAGTGAAGACCCAAAGAATCCAAATGAAGTATGATTGGCCCCGATTCATCTTCTTTGTCTGGGATACAAATAATGATCAAGCTCCAGTGAAGGCTGGATATATGAAATATCATGAGTAACAAACCCAGAACTGAGTAGAAGGTAAGATAAAGATACGACAATACGCTCCTGTCAAATACAAAATTTTGGAAGTGCATAATAGAATAAAGCATAGACAGATGAGTATTAACAGTAATCAATGTTACTTATTCTTATAAAAATAATGTCAGGGCAGAAAAAGAGTTATTCCAAAGAAAACCAATAGAGCATGAAAGACCCTTGGAGCATCCAAAAATGTAAACCAACAAACAAGAAGAAAAGGTAAAAATATGCAGCAGATAAATCAAAATCAAAATATTTGAATGAAATAAAGGTTTGGCATAATAGTCAGTGAAGAACAATTGTACAAATAAATTTCAATTATATAAACTTATGGCAATAACTAGTTGCCTAGAGTACATAAATTTAGAAAACAAATCTGTCCTAGAAAAACAGACGTGTTAAAAAGGAAAACAAATAAAAGGAACAAACTGTCCTAAAATAATACAGTTTATAATTATATTTAATATTCTCCGTCAAGCTAATGAATAGATATCAATCATTTCCAGCTTTTGCTAATAAGGTCCCAAAACCTCTAGATGTGTAGTCCATTCTGTCAAATGATATCATATGCAATGGTTATGAATTCTTTAATCCAATTTCTCATTGATAAAGTGTCCATCTATCTCAATGTGTTTTGTCCTGTCATGCAATTGGATTCTCTACAAACAAGTATTAATAATCAATTTGTTGTTGCATAATAGTTCCATAGGTGCTTCACATTTTACGTTGAGACTATCTAAAATGATAATCCACAACAACTCAAGCTCCTTGAGCCATGGCTCAGAATTCACCTGTGAACTTCACCAAGCAACCACATTATGTTTCTTACTACTACATGTTACTAGGTTTCCACTCAAAAAAATACAATAATGAAATGTTGTCAACCGATTTATAATTGAACCTGCATAATTCATACCTACATACACTTCCATGGAGTGATCTAGTTTTCCACCTTCCAAAATAGAAACCAGCTTCTGGTGTGGTTTTATAACATTGTGGAATTCAGTCCAAGGCCAGCAAGTGTAATACTCTCTACTCACACATGAACTGGCTAACAATACTGATATTATTTGCTAGTCCTGGTCTGCTATGTCCCTGGGTTTAACAATTTCACTACTGACACTTCAAGTTGTTCTATCAACCTTGAGACTCTCTTCATCACTCCTCATTCTGTGGCTTTACTCGATGAGTACGACGGTATCCTTACATACTTGCTATCAAATCCTTTTCTAGAGAAATAAGGTAACTACAAACCAAAGTTCTTTAACTTTCCAAGATCTTTCTTTCGAATTTGTTAAGGTTCCAACATAAAACCAATTGGCAATATGTGGAGTAGCCTAACATGTATTTAAACCATACCAAATGATATGAGGTAGGCGATGTGGGACTTTCAACACACCCCCTCCAACGAAGCCCGCCGGACCAGGCAGGCAAATGGTACTTTTGACCCAACTAAAGGGCAACTTTTGGCCCATGACAATAACCGGAAAGATGTTAGGCTTTGGCTCTGATACCATGTTAAGGTTCCAACATAAAACCAATTGGCTATATGTGGAGTAGCCTAACATGTATTTAAACCATACCAAATGATATGAGGTAGGCGATGTGGGACTTTCAACAGAATTCAAGAGTAGTTTCTAATCAACTCCCTCACCTAACACAATGATATCAAAGAGTATGTTTACCATCTTCTGAATGTTGACTAAGATCACCATGACATTTATGCACTCCAAGAAACAATACTAAATCAAAGTGTGATTGCAGAAACTAGGGAAACCAAAAATACAAAATAAGGCTAATCAATTCCTAATCCTAAGTACCATAATCATAATAACTAATCACTATCCTTGCCAATACTCCCCTTGCCAACTGAAGTCCTAAGATGTATGTGGCAGTTATAAGTATAAATTATTAGGGGTGATAAGCAAATCAACACCTAAACTGAACCTGATGAAATCGAAGTAAAAATGGTGCTGTCTGACCAGTTTACAGCAAATACACAGGTTGAGTGGTTTAAAAATAACTATGTAGCTGTTTTCATGGTACTTTTTTAATAATTTATTACCTAGCAACTATCAAATATAGATGTGACTTTTGCAGGGCCTTTCCCTCCGCAAACTCCAATTTTGCTTATTTCAATTTATTCTACCATTATATCAAATCAGAAACAATTTCCATATCGTTGTCTTTGACTCCTTCATCCTTTTACCTCTGGCATTACTATTCGAGTCATTGGCCTCTAAAGAAAAAAAATTCCCTATGCTGTTCTCTTCTCCCTGTGTTTTAACAATGAAGAGTGAATTATTTGGGAAAGTTACATGATACAGTAAACTGAGGGTGGTACAGTATATACACGTATTTTTAAAAGAGCATACAATTTACATCTTATTCCTCCATATCAGCAAAATTTCCTCCAAAAAGCATACAATATCCTGAGGAGGACCTTCGGTCTGCAATTGATTTTGAATGACCTATTGTGTATACGTCCAAGAATAGTTGTCCTTTCTTGAATTATATAAGGTCTGCTGAGGACCTCCTTCGTGAAGAGTAGTTCGAATGAATGCGGAATCTCACAATCCTTGTCAACATTAGTCTTGAACTTATTTGTGCTAAAACAACTCCCAGATTGAAGTCTGGTGACACTGGATGAAATTATATTCTGGTCATTAGCCCTTCACATACCATTCAATTTAGTGTTTAACGATAGAACCAAATACATTGGAATTGATTGTCATTTTGTTCAAGAGAAATTCTGCTGAAGGAAGTGAACATTGAATCCATAGGTTCCAATGATCAACTAGTAAACAACTTTCTAGTCTCTTGAAATTCGATATATTTGTTTTGGAGCATTTGATTCATATATGCCCAACTTGAGGGGAGTATTGGAAGTAGGAGTGTGAATTAGTTCAGATTCATGTATTATATAATTTGTACACTTACAATGTAGGATTCATAAGCATAGGAAGTAGCACTCTCCCCCGCACTTATGACCATATCGTGTAATTATTTCAAAGGCGTATAAATAACAATCTTAACAAGTATCTTTTCTCGAGCAATTCAGAAAATCTCTTCTTTAAAATCCTCTAAACCCCTTTTATTTCAAGTAACATTTTAAATTATAAATGAATATTTTTCAGATATTACAAGATATAACCCATTGCAAAGAATCAGCCCCCATATTTAGGGACAAGCAGAATGCCCCAAGTACCAAAATAAATGGATGCACACTCTAATTGGCTAGCAATTACATAGCAGTAAGAATATAAGTAGACAAAAGTATAGGATTTTTCACTTGTGGATTTCCACCAGTAGCATGCCCACTACTTACAATCAAATACGTTCATTATTTCATTTAATGAAACCAAATTTTTTGATAAATTAAAGCAAAAGTCAAAATATAAAATAAGGAGGCAATATTTTAGCTCAAGTATTTAAACATTGATAATAATTTTTCAGAACAAAGGCCTTTGCGTCATGTGAATAGTAGTTTCTTCAGATAATATAACATAATTCAAAGGAAAGCACAGAAAGAATTTATAAGCATTTACGAGACTATATTTTGCGAACAAACGTTCAATAATAATGAAGAAAACTTACTCCTCATGTATTGGAATCAAAACATATGCCTTCTGAAAAATATTAACACCCTTCCACCATCTTCTGAACCTTGCAAAGATCATCTCTCTATCACTTTGCTAGATATTTACAATAAATAATAAATTAGAACATATACAGAAAAAAGTACAAATTGAAAGGAATGTAAGGAAGGCAAGGATAGAAATTAACTTTACAAACAAAAGCATCGTTGCAACAAAAGAGAATCACCCTATCAGAGTCTCACATTTTTCCTGACCCAAAAGACTCTATACTCTCGTTTATTCAACATACATTATTTTAAATTTTAAATTAGTTACATTAAGTTGCTGGTCACTGAATTATTTCAGGATTCTTTTAAAAATAAGTCTTGTACTCTAGAAGTTTGTAATTAGATCTTTGAACTTATAAATAACTTTTAATTGGATCCCTGGCCCAATTTCCTTTAGGATTCCATTAACTACGGGAACCTAGTTAAAAAAAAATTTCAACAGTTTAGGGACCACTAAATAATTAAACTAGTGACTTGGTCCCAGAAAATTTTCAATTAGATCCATGAACTTAACGGAAGTAGGGAACCAGATGGAAATATGGCCATGAACACTATGCAAAATTATTTAAAAGTCCAGGGACCTAATTATAAACTTCGAAAGTATGGGTAGCGGGGATTAATTAAAATCCCCAGATAAGTAAAGGGCAAGGAGATAAATTTTCCTTTTAAGAATAAAGTCTTACAAACAATTTCAATTTCCCCACTCCATCCATTTTCTATTTATAAAAAGGATCGTTGTAATTGTGTCTCATGTACACACGAGAATTGTTATTTGTATTAAAATGATACAATAATAGGGAGCAAAATCAATAACTAATAATGAGGATAGTCTGATAAGGTATTTTCCTATTTAATATAATCAAATCATATCTCTGACATTCCTCGTCAAATTGTAGCATATGTCATATGAATTAAGTTTGTTACATATGCTGTCAACATGAGAACCCTCACATGTCTACAAGTTGGTCACCAATAAAGTCGGTGATGCTCTCTCCCGAGATTACCTTCTCTCTCATAAAGTAATGGTCAATCTCTATGTATTTGGTTTGCTCATGGACGACTAGATTTGGCACAATGTAAATAGCATCTTGATTGTCACATATGAGTTTCGTATCTTGCATGTCTCCAAATTTTAATTGGTGTAGTAGTAGCCTATGCCATGTAATCTCACAAGCAAGCTATTGACATGACACGTAGCTCAGCTTGAGCATTAGATCTAAAAACTGTTTTCTACTTCTTGCTCCTCCAAGAGATTAAGTTTCCTCCAAATATGAAAACAATATCCAAAAGTAGACTTCGTGTCAGATGGTGATCTTGGCCCATTTACATAAGAGTAAATGACAATTTTGGAATTGCCTTCATCTTCATATACTAATTTGTGACCTGATACCACTTTTTGACGTATTAAAGGATTTGCATGGCAGCTTCCAATGACTTTCACATGAATCCTTCAGGAATTGGCTAACCATACTGACAGCAATGTGATATTTGGCATAGTGACAATGGGGCAATTAACTATGCCTACAATCAAGCATACCAGTTTTGCTTGGAAATGACAAAACTGGCGGATGATTGGGTTACTTGTCACTGAATCACTTTTTCACAGACTAGGACAAACATGGGCTAGCTCAATCAGACTCAAACAAATTTGCAAGTCTGAGCCTAAGTATACAAGACTGTGTGAACTTTTCCCGTTGCTAAGGAGCGTTATCAGGTCAGCAATTCACATTTAATGCATTGTTGATGATTATCTAAATCTAAAAATATACCTTCAAAATTATCAAGCAAAATTACTAATATCTGATTAACTACTAATTAAACAGTCACACAGCAAACTTTTTGCAATATTTTGAATGGAACAATCAATTATGCATTATATCATAATGATTAAGAGTCTGCATACTAATGAAAAATAATCTCTGTGCACCCACATGAATACAGCAATGAATTATAAGATAACTAAGCACCTTGTAGGAAACAGCTTCTTTAAGCTTCTTGTAGAAATATGTATTGAAAAAATGGTAGTCGGATAATGATCTATTTGTCAACAATGCTTGCTGCTGCAAATATCTATCCAATAGAAATTGCCATAAGTAGAGAATTCAGAAACTAAACGTGGAAATATGTCCCAAGGACTATTGCTGTGCTGCAGTATATAATTCATGTGTTCATCATTACTAATCCTAAAGAGAGAAAACAGAAGTGATGATATATAAACAAAATCAGTTTGATAGGTAATAACAAAATCAAAGTGAGTTGTAACAACAGTTAGGGGTGTAAATCAGATAATCTATTCATGAAATATTCAGCTTGATTCCTTAAATGTTTAGTCAAACTCACTGGTATATTACCGAACAACCAACATCAAGCTTTGCTGTAAGCTCAATTATACAGATGAGCGACACACATGTTTACAAACGTGACTTTTAAAGCTTATGAATACTCAATTCCTTAAATGCTTAAGTAAACCCAATGGTTTACTAAAGAACCAACCTCTAGCTTGGCTTTAGGTTCAATCATATGACAAGGGGACAAATTTTTACAAACTTGACATTAAAAGATCTTGAATAGTTCATCTCTCTGTCACTTTCTTTGCTTGCATAAAGACACTGATAAAATTGTTGTTTGGTAGTTGGTGGGCCGCACTGTGTGTTATTTTCTAAGTGAGGAGAAAAAAAGCCAGATATTGGCAATGGCAACCAGACTTCACTTCCCTAAAACCCTTTTTATAGAGCTGTCAAAATGGGTGACCCAACCTAGTCTCACCTGATTCTATAGACCAACTAAAAATTTGATGGCCTAGCCTCGACCTATATTTTAAAATGAGCCAAAATTTTAGCTTAGTATGACCGTATGTTAGGCACGAACCAATTTTGGCCAGATTGAAATTAAAAAAATATATATATTAACATATATGTACCAAATCAATTAATTAAAAAATATTTAATTAAAAATATATTTTTAAAATTTAAATTTTATTAATAAAATTAATTTTTATTTAAAATATAATGATTTAATATATAAATTATAAAAGAACGCATCTATTCAATGTCAAAATAAGAATTAAAAACTAACTCTTCATTATCATTATTTATTTTTTAGTAATTTATTAATATAAAATAATAAGTAACCTTAATCATTAGATCTTGGAATAAGTGGTTGTTAAAGATTTATTCTGATATTTACTCTTAAGATAAATGAATCCCTTGTCAAATTAATTTATAATACATATATATTTTTTAATAAAATAATATTACTTTTATTTTTATTTTAAAAAATAATTATTATTCTATAAAACAGGTTGGCCCATATACTTAGAGGCTAGTGTGACCTAAGCTCATCTACACCACGACCTAAATAGATCGGACCAAAATAAACTTAATTCAATTTAGGCCACAAATATTTTGGCCTAACCTGACGTATTTATCAAGCCTTTCGGGTCATCCTATCGGACTAAACCTATTTTGACACTCTACCTTTCTGTCTTGCATCTAATCTAATTTCTCTCCTTTCCTATCTAAACCAAATAACAGCCCACCAATAGTATTTCTTCCAATGTCACTTCTATTTCTCTTGAATCAAACAACTCAATTCCACCCTATTTCCAATCTAGTTCTATATGCTCCATTTTCTATCCACTACATTTCTTTTCTTCATGTCAAGCAAAGAGCGTGTGATACACTTACAGGAAGGTTGAAGTGTTGTCAATGGTGAATGTTGGATTATGGCGAGTTGGCAACCAACCAAATAATCCAACATAGTGTTGCACCATATAGCAAGTGCATGGCAGACAAATTAAAAATAATATATACAAAAACACTACCTAAATAAAAGTGTATTACAGAATTAGTGAACACAATTGAAGATATAACAGATTTTAAAAAAAGGCAGTTGAAAACATAACAAATTTAAAACAACATTTAACATAATTTAAAAAATGTACCATCCAAAACAAAATAGTAAAGCCTTCAGTAAGGAAGAAATTGTTCATCTTCAGACCCTTTTTGACTCCCCAAGTAAGCCCTCAGAATCATATTCTTTGACTAAGGGTAAGAATTCTTTTAACATCTCTAGTTTTGTTTTCCAAAGTATATTTAGATTATTGATTTTGGGGTAATAGACCATATCACTCCTTTTCTCACTCCCTTCACATCATACTCCAAAGTACCTATCAAGTAGTTGCTAATGGAGAACATGTTCTTATTGTTGAATTAGTAGCATCCAACTCCAATCTTTTCTATCCTCAGAGAATGTCCTATGTCCCTAAATTGGCTAGTAATTTGATATCATATATAGGCTTACTAAGACTTGAATTGTTAAGTAGTCTTTTTTTTCATTTTTCATCGTGTCCTTCAGCCTTGGATAATGAAGGACAATTGTTATTGCTAAATAGCAAAGTGGGTTATATAGTTCTTGCATCACAAGACAATTGATTATAGCAATAGAATATTCGTTCCAATCAATAGGCCACCCCAAAAAATAGGGCAAGGGGCAACTTCCAAATTTGACGTCACCACAAGTGTCTTGGACATTCTCCACTTAGTTTAATTCAATATCTACCATTGCATTGTTTGCCAAAGTGTTCGTTGAGTCTCCCAAATGTGATGTTTGCCAAGTTTCTAGCACAATCATGCTTCTTGTCTACCTCGACTAGTAATAATATCAGTGTTGCTGCTTTTAATCTTATTCATTCATATAGGGACTTAATACTGAATTTGTTTCTAGGGTTAGGAGGTTTGTAACTTCTATTGATGATGGTAACATATGCCATGGACAAACCCTATTTTGCACTAATCCTAAATTTGTTAAATATTCGTTTAATTTTTTTCCATCATGTCAAAAAAACAATTTGGAAGTCCATTAAAAGAATCCGAGCAAATAATGACATTGAGTATTTGTTAATCCTTTCAACCTTACCATACCAACTTGTAAAGTATGGTTTGCACCATATATATTATAATTTTACCATATCTCTAATTAATGTGAGATGTCTAATACACTCCCTTGCCCCAAGGAATGAATATCTTGAGAGTGTGGAACTAGAAATTTAAGGGTAATCTACCAGTGACCTGATAACAAGTAGAGAAATATGCCCACAAACTCCACTAGGATGACCTCTGATATCATATTAAAAATAGAAAGGTGTCTAATTCAACGCTACAAAACTAATTTGTAAGGTGAGGTTTACAACTCTATTTTATATAATAATTTAACCATATCTTTACTTGAAGTGAAATCTTTAATATTAACCTTAAATTAGCTAAGTTTGTTATTGATCACGATATCATTCATGAGCTAACCTATGCCAATACACCATAATAAATGGGGTCATAGAGCAAAAAAAACAGTCCTCTACTTGAGGTTGCCAAAGCTCTACTCTCTATAATGTTCATTCCCAATGTCTACTACGAGAAGTTATCCTAATTGCCACCTAAGCTACTCACGCATATCTTACACAGTAATAGTCCATTCATTCCTTCTTCTCCCCTGTAGTGATGTCTCCTATGTCATGTGCTTGAGCATTTCCTTTCCCAATTTTATGTTGGAGTTCAAATGTAAGTGGAAGTCCCACATTGTGTAAAAATGGACAAATTGGACAACATAGGTAAGAAAAACCCAAAACCTTATTTCTTTAAGTTTTCTTTTAACTAAAGATAGTGTCATGTTCTCTAATATGATAGTTCGTAACTATTATTGAAGACCTTCCCAACGTTTCTACCTCTCAAATGGGCCTTAACATATCATCAAATTGATCCTTGAAGGACAAAATTTGTGGCACTAATACTCAAAGGACCTATTTAACCGTTTCTGGAGGACCAATGTGAAGCTGCTTTTATCTTGTTAGAGGATCACAGTGGGTAATAGTCAAAGTTAATACATAAAGAGACAATATAACTGAAGCAAAAATTACAAAATAAACATAGACACTCCCCCAATATTTTTTTAAGAACCAAAATATTTCAATCCTATTCAAAGTCCTATCAATCAAGCATGCATTATGTTATGTTTTTTCCATAAATATACATTACAAATTAAATGCAATGAGTTTAGGGTAACAAAAGAAAGAAGATAACATAATTATGCATTTATTTCTTCAATATAAAAAGAAATTCTTTAAAAAGGAAAGGCAAAGGAGAAACTAGAGAAGGCTAAATAGACTTACTGAATGTAGAAGTTCATAATCGTTGATGTTAAATAGCCTTCAGGGGCAAGGCAATCTGTGTCTGTGTAACAAATTTCTACACACTCTGGATCATCTCTGAGCCATCACAAAGGAAATTCAACAGGTCATTCGCAGAGTAAATAAGAAAAAATTATAGTTGAATGACCATGTTACAGTATTATTCTTTAGAAGTACCTTGATGGAAAATAGATCTTGGCTTCTTTCAGGCTGAAAATAAACAGACAAAAATCAAATACTATAGAGGATTTTCTGAGCATATTGCAACAAAAGATGAAATAAATAAATAAAAAATAAAATCAAATCAAATTCACTTACTATTTAGAAAATCTGTTTTCTGTTTTCTCTACAATATGAGTTTTGTCATCATCTTCATCGTCGTCGTCATCATCATCAACATCAAGAACAATGGGCTGACCCTGTTCAAAACATGTAATACTAATCACTTGTACATGCTGGTAAAGGTAAAGACGTGTCAGATCATTGACAAACTGCTGATTAAATTAGGATTTTGAACTTGTATCACTACCAACTGGCCAAATGTCATAAGCTAACAATATAATTTGAATGGTTAAATAAGAAAAATAGACACACCTTCCTGGACCTTGGGCCATCTAATTGAATTGCCTGAGAAGTATCCTTCCTACCATGTGGGTAACAAGGAAATAAGGATCCAACATTATGAATTTATTCATTCAGAAAACCTAGCTAGAGCAAAACTAACAAGCCATATCTGCCACCATCTTCAACATTAGAAAAGGGTGCAGAAGAGGAAATCATGCGTGTAATTTTCTGTAGCAAATGATGATGATGTGATGACCTTTGAACACAAAATTAGTACAAGAGAAGTGGAACATAATTGCAATGCACAGCACAGTTAGAACTCATATCTTACTGTAAAAATCATACTAATTTAAACAAGAAAAATCATAAATTACATAATCCCTTCCTAATAAATGAAAATAGCACAGATAGATTTTAATAAACCATCTTCTAGCTATCCAATAAGACAATTTTGAACACTATGGAATGGCATGAGATGAGAGAATTCCTCTCAGCCCCTAAGAATTTAGAATAAAGGATTACAATTCAAATCCCTGATCAAAGTATCATGAAAAAGTCATTGGAATCAGATAGAGGGAGTGAAAAATACCCTTTGTGCTTATGAATGAAATGGACTAACCTTTAATTGTGCATCTCAAATATCTATATACACCACACCAGATATAAAAGCATACACAATCTCGTGAACCAGTGAATACCAAGGTATATATTCAATTGGCATACAGTAAAAAATGCATTACATCAGTTTAATGAACCACAAAATATACATTTCAAGTAAACTGGCAATGGCAAAACAACTAAATGAAGTAACTAAATACACCAATACCAAAATCACACAATAATGTTATCATTCTAAAAAGCATTAGAATGAAAAAACATAAGACATTTTCACTTACACTTTTGGGTAGCATCTTGATAGATTTCTCCCAATATTCCGCAGAGCAAAAGTGGAAGTTGCTCTACAGGTTTTACCGTCACTAAAAGAATCATGTTTGGAAAGTTTACTAGGACATCGAAACTGCAATTGTCTTGATGATGAACGATGTCTCTTTCTTCTTCTAGATGCTCCATTGTCTGGTATTTTCTGGTTGTCACACTGTTTGAAATATGACGTCTCTTTTTTAAATGCATCAGAAGCTGTATTGTCTTGTATTTTCTGGTTGTCACGATGTTTGAAATGTGACATCTCCTTTTTAAATGCATCAGAAGCTGTACAACTAGTCTGCTTAACAAATAAAAGTCGGGTAAGAAATATAATGGTGAGTTTGAAGGGAAAAAATTGAGTAATTTACAAATGATGCAATGGACCTTACGTTATCTTGCATCTTTTCAACGAACAAAGATGTAAAAGAGGATTGTGGCTGAACTTGAGACGACGAATTCTCTTCTCTCAAGTCATTAGTAGACACAACTGCAAAAACAATCATTTCTTAGAATACCAAAATCAAGTATTTTACTTGTTGAAAATAAAAAAATTTGTATTCATTGAAACACTTGAGAAAACTATTTAGGTTCCGATATCGTGTCTAAAGGCATTGTTATTATTGTATTTATAGAAAAGAGATACAAAAAAGAGGATAAGGGCTTCAGCCCAAACCCTAAATCCTAGTCTAAGGAACGTACACAAAAAGTAGAAACAAAAGGGAAACAAACATGTCTCAACACTCCCCCTCATGCTGAAGCTTATAAATTGAATGCACCAAACTTGGAACATATGAACTGAATCATATGTCCTCTTCAGGATTTAGTTAAAATGTTCACAAGTTGCTCATTAGAACTTACACGCTCAGTTATAAGTTCCTTGGACAATAACTTCTCTCTAACAAAATAACATTCAATCTCAATATGTTTTATTCTTTAATGAAACACTAGGTTGGAAGCAATATGGAGAGCTGTCTGATCATCACAAAACAACTTCATCTACTCATTATCACAAAATTTTAATTCTTGAAGAAGTTGTTTGATTCACACAGGTTCACATGTAGCAAGTACCATAGACTTATACTCAGCTTCTACACCGAATCGATCAACAACACTTTGCTTTTTACTCTTCCAAGAGATTATATTCCCTTCAATAATGATACAATACCCCATACTAAATCTTCTATAACTGGGATAGTTAGCCCAATTTGCATTACAATAACTTAGGATTTGAGTATTATCTTTATCTTCATATAATAATCCTTGTCATGGGGCCCTTTAACATATCTCAGAATGCGAATCAAAGCATTCCAGTGATCATTAAAAGAATTTTGCATGAATTGACTAACTACTCCAACTGCATAAGAGATCTGGTTTGGTAATAGTGAGATAAATGAGTTTACTAACCAATCTCTTATATCTCTCTGGATCCAAAAACCTTTCTTCTCTATCTCCCATCAATTTCTAATTAGGATCCATTGGACCATCAATGAGCTTACAATTTGTTAAACATATCTTCTTTGAGAAATGATCACACCTTTCTTTGACTGGGTTACTTCAATACCAAGAAAATACTTCAATTGACTAAGGTATTTCGCTTGGAAGTGACCAAATAGATGATTCTTCAATTAACTTATCTTAGTGTAATTATTGCTTGTAATGACAATATCAACATGAACCATAAGATAAAAACATTTTCTTGAAGAGGAATGACAATAAAAGACTAAGTGATCTACAACACTCCTTTTCAAGTCAAACAACTACACAACATGACTATTTCAAGTCATAAAGAGACCAGTGTAGCTTATATACTAAACTAGACTTCGCTTGAGCAATAAAGACAAGAGACTACTCAATATAAATCTCTTTCTCAAGGTTACCATGAAGAAAGACATTTTTAATGTCCAATTGGTGAAGGGTCAATGACGAATACAAATCATAGCAACAAAAAGATGAATAAGGTATCACAATAGTCAAGACCATAAATTTGAGTGTAGCCTTTAGTCATTAAGCGAGCTTTGAGACGACTCACCTTACCATTATTATCAACCTTAACTACATAGACTCATATACAACCCACAATCTTTTTGCCAAGAGGAAGAGGGACAAGTTTTCAAGTGTTATTTTGTTCAAGAGTCTGCATTTCATCAATCATGGCTTGTCGCCATCCAAGGTGATCAAGTGTCTCATGAACAGTATTAGGAATAGAAGTATCAATCAAAGAGAAAACAAAAGAAGAATATGAATGGGACAGGTGATGATAACTTAAAAAATTATAAATAGGGAAAGGATTGCGAGTGGAACGAATACCTTTCCTGAGTGTAATAGGCCATCTAGAACCAAAATCAGAAGTAGGAGAGGAGGTTGAAGGATCCATGGTATGAGAAGATGATGGAGAAGGTTCTGAATCACGAATATCTTCGGGGATGAGAACCGGTAAGGGTGTAAGAGGGATCCTGTGGTAATATGTGAGAAGAGGAGGAGGATCAATATGACCTGTAGACTGAGTTAGAGAAGGATCAAGTATTAGAAATAGATCACATAAAGGTATAGGAAGAACTTGTTGAATAAAGGAACCATCCTCCATGGAGGAAGAAAGAAAAATGTGTCCTCAAAAAAGGTAGCATAAGACGAGAGTATCCCAAGAAAACACATTTAATGGCCTTTGCACTTAGTTTATCAAGATCTGGATAGATATTATGTACAAAACAAGTACAACCAAATACACGTGGAGACACATGATAAAGAGGATCATCTGGAAAGATAAGAGAATGTGAAATTAGATTTTTAAGAGAAGAAGATGACATTTGATTAATCAAAAAACAAGCAATGAGAACTTCATCTTCCTAATGATGAACAGGAATATTAACATTCAACATTAGAGAGTATGAAATCTCAATAAGGTGCCTATTTTTCCTTTCTGCGATACCATTTTGTTGTGGGGTGCGAGGACGAATTGATTGATATAAAACTCCTTGAGAAGATAAAAAGGAAAAGAAGGAGGTAGAAAAATATTATTTAGCATTATCAATTCTGAGAACTTTAATTATTTTCCCAAATTAATTTTTAATTTCATTAAAAAAGGACACAAAAATAGATAAAAGTTTAGATATGTCATTCATTAAATAAACCCAAGTACATTTGGAAAATTCATCAATAAAGGTCACAAAATACTGAAAGTCCAAAGAAGAGACACGACTCAATCCCCAAACATCAGAATGAATATTTGAAAAAGGAAAATTACATCAAGTTTCAAACTGTTTAGGAAAAGTATACCTAATATATTTTCCTAATAGACAAGATTCGCATTCTAAAACCTGAAGGTGTTTGAGATTATGAACCATCACTTTCAACTTAGATAAACTTGGGTGACCCAAACGATCATGCAAAAGTTTAGAAGCATAAGAAGCAATACATTACACAAAAGGACTTGGATTTAGATAATGTAGACCATATGATTCATGTCCTTCAACAATCAAACGACTTGCACCATGTTGCTGAATAACAAAAAAATTGGAATTAAAGGTTACAGAACAATTCAAAGAGCGAGTCAATTGATTAAGAGAAATTAAGTTATAAAGGCAATTAGGAATGAAAAGAATAGAGTTTAAATTTAGAGAAGGAATTAAAGGAACTTAGCCAACTCCTTGAGATTTCACTTTGAATCCATTAGCCACAGTAATCAAGAGAGGAATTTTGGGATAGAACATGAAGGAAAATGAGGAACTATTACCAGATATATGGTCAGAGACACCTAAATCAATAATCCATGGGTTCTGACCTTCCACAGTTTGAGAAATGCATGTTGTTGAAACACTTGGCATTAAAGAAGATTGACTCTGGTTGTTGATGTTTCCAAATTTGAACTTCAAAAATTCTTGATACTCCCCATAAAAAATCCTTATATATGACTTTTCAGATTTAGAAACATGGGAATAGCAATTTTTCTTAATGTGCCACATCCTCTTGCAATAAGAGCATTGAGGACAAACATTCCTACCACCACGTCCTCCTCAACTGTTGCGTCCTCCCCCTTGACCACAAGCTGAAGTTTCAACAATCTCCACCTAATTCTCATCTGTCATAAGATTGGATATGCGAATCAACCTCGTGACAAGATTGTCAATTGATAGAATCTGATCACCCGCTAGGATTTGATCACGCACATGATCAAAATCAGAATACAAGCTCCTCAAAATCAAAACCATATACAACTTATAAAGTTTGGAATTTAACTCTTCTAATGTATTTGTCACAAGAAACCTTTTTAATTCTTCCACAGTAGCTCTAGCTTTTGCAATATGAGACATCATGTCATGGTTGGTCTGCTTTAGTGACGTCACTCTTTGAGTTGCATCAAAGAGACACTGAGTATCGTTAGCAAAAATATCTTAATCCTTTTTTCCAAAATGAAGAGCATGTTTTGAATGACCTAAGAATCTCAAGAACTTCATGCTCCTCAAACTACCATAAGATTGCGCAAAGTTGAAAATCTATTTTTTCCTACTAAGACTTTTCTGCGGCAGAAATAGAGTTTACATCCTTCTCTAAATGGTCATGATACCCCTGACCTAGATACCATAGTTCAACAAATGCGACATAGAATAAATAATTTTTCCATTTGACTCTTGCACTAGTTATGGTGCAGAGAAGGAGAAGGGGCTAGTTGAAGACATTTGAACTAGAGATGACAGATAACCGACCAATAGAGGCACCCAAGGGACCTAGCTCTCAAGGTTCCCAAAATAAAAAAGTAAGGGCACCACTGGATTGTGAGGACGCCGATGAGATGAATGGTGGTGGTTTGACTTGGTTTCGACCACTGGACAATGACGCGTGATACACACGTGCCAGAGGAGACACTTTGGGAGAAACATGCATGACGACGCAGCAGATGGAGGCATGATTTGCTGGGGTGGGTCATGCTCCTCGAGGTGCACCAAACCCTCACCAATCCAAACAGAGACGATGTTTGGCAATGACGACGGCGGCCCAAGGTGGCCAAAGGTGACAAGGATGACTCGAAATCAATGCTGAATCTTGTCCGCTTTGCTACCAACTTGAGAAAACTATTTAGGGTTCCGATACAGTATCTAAAGGCTCTATTACTATTGTATTTATAAAAAAGAGATATAAAAAAGAGGATATGAGCCTCAGCCCAAACCCTTAACCTTAGTCTAAGGAACATACACAAAAAAAAAGAAACAAAAGGGAAACAAACATGTCTCAACGCTAGTAATAATGGTTTATAGGCATATAATCCTATAATCTTTAGATTTAGAGGAAAAAAAATATCCTCCACTTATGTACAAGTAATGTAATAATTTAATACAAATTCACATCCCCTGTGTTCAAACACAAATGCTTGGGGTGCTAACTTGAATTGATACTTTGTCATGTTTTAAACATTTTGTCATCATTTTTTATGATTTTTTGTTATGCGTGGTATAACTACACTTTCTTTGCAATGATAATGCACATGAATATTTACCTCAACAATTTACAACGTCGAAGGGCAATCATTATCAAACATCTCATGCCCACACACCTCAAACTCTTCCCCTCCATTGCAATACTCCCTTCTACCTTTGAGGCAATATTGTCCTCTCAGTCTTTTAACCTATCAATTGCATGTCATCCTTTGTCCTAAATGATCAAGTTCCTTATTATCTCCCATTTCTTCATTCACCTCTACATACACTTCCTCATCAAGTATGATTCCACATGTTTTATTCACAATCTGATTCCATGCCTTGACAAAGCTCTTAGCTTGATCTATCTAATGTACCTTAGAGATATTGATCACATAAAGATTATCAGTGATTCTCTCCTACTGTTCAAAGGTATTTCTTTTCAATTGTATCTATTTTTTTAGTCTATCCCTTGTTATGAGTATGCTGACTCTCCTCCTAACATGTGGAGTTTTATCCCTACTAGTTCCCTCTGAAGCCATTAGTCGTTAGGCCCCTTAATCATATCAACATCACCAACAATCTATTAGCAATATTGCACCATCTTGCAGAATGATTTGTGATTATATAGTAAAGGCCATAATATACCCTTCCCCATTTCCATCTTCTTTACTAGATCTAAGCCTACTCCCTAACATTGATTGACCCACTGCTCCCAAAAGATACTTGTTCCACGTATAAACCACCTCATTATATTAATTTCAGTTATCATTATTTTTCTTAGTTGCATTATACTTGCTCTCTGTCTTCTATGTTTATCCCTAACTCTCCAAATGAACCATTATCTCACCCAGAATGGAGGCAACCAATTATTAACAAGATGTGGGCACTCCAAAGTTGGCCCATGGCAAATTTGTTTCAGAGTGTCTTGGTTGTACACCCTTAAAGTTGGCCCTAATGAAACCATGGATTGTCTCACGGTTACACCCACATGTATGATTAGGACTATATTGATATTTTCTCTCTAGTAGCCAAAATTGCTTATCATACTACTATTCTCCATGGTTGTCATTTGCCATCAGTCTCTTCCAACATTACATTAAAAATTATTTCTTGTGTTCCAAGAAGAAGTCTGCATAAAGCAACCTCCAAGTTTTGTGTCAACAAAAGTCCTTTGTTGTGGTCTATCAACTTTACAAGTTCTTATATGGACAAAACACATCCCCTTAGGCATGGTTTGGCTAATTTCGAACTATGCAAAAATTCGATATGATTCACAATGAAGTAGACAACTTTGTCTTATATAACACCATTCACCTCAAGGGTGCATCTATCACATTGTCAATATGGATGATAATGTCATTTTAGGCAAAATGGTGTGCTCAACTTGAAGCAATTTCTCTAAAATCCAACTCTAGGCTAAGGAGGGTAAGCTTTGGTATTTTTAGGTGTTGAAGTTGGTCATTCTAAGGACGATTTAGTAGTCTCCCAAAGGAAATATGCTTTTGAAATCATGTCAGAAACAAACTTATTAAATGTTGAACCAATGGACACTCTTGTGGATCCTAGTGTCTTATTGCTATTGAATCATAGGAAACCCTTATTGGATCTTGAGAGATATAGGAGATTGGTTGGAACATTGAACTATCTCACGGTCACTTACCTAGATATAGCCTTTATAGTGAAATTGGTGAGTCAGTTCTTGAACTCTTCCCATCAATACCATTGTAATTCAATAATTCAAATGCTAAAATACATTAAGAATGTTAAGATAGTTTGTTACTCAAATGAAGATTGTGTTGATTAACCAATTGTTAAGAAATCCACTTATGGGCATTGTGTGTTGAAAGGAGGAATCTTGATATCTTGGAAAAGTATGAATCAAATATTCTAGTGAGATCAAGTGCTAATGCAGAGTATAAGGTCATGAATTAAGTAAATTGTGACCTTGTATGGCTGAAACAACTTCTTACAGAGATCAAGTTTGAATACACTGGGCTCAAGTATGAAGGCATTGGCCTCAAGTTGAGATACAAGTTAAACTGCAAGAGAAGCTAGAGAATAAGAACAAGGAATGCCTAGAAGTGGTTGCATAGGTGAGGAATGGATGAAAACTACTGAGAACAGAATTACAAAATAGGGCTAGACTGCAATAGAAGTCAAGGATGGCTAGAGACAGTCACCAAAGAAGGGCGAGTGTTCAAGACAGAGAATGTGGACAAGTAAATGGGAAAAGTAGGGTTTCAGTTTATCTCTGACTAAATAAAAGAGGGAGCCAAGGGGAAATTCACGAATGCTGCACAGTTGCACCTGCTCCAGCCACCACATGCTGCACTTTCAATATTACTCAAAACCACAACTCTATTTATGTTCCATATTGCCCAAAAGCGGATTTGCTACGCAATCCTGCTATAGCACACAATTGAAAACCATTACAGACATATAATGCCAAAACATCAGGTTTCCAATGTTGATATTTGTAATCTCATAAGGACAACAGTTTCCTCATCTTTTACCAAGAATGAATAAAAAAGACACTCAGGTGGACTAAAACCAAGATATTTTCCCCTCTTTTCACCATAGAATCATTAATAGCAGAACTCAAATACCACGCCATTGTCATTGCACTATAGTACACAAATACATAAGTCTCAAAAGTTACTTTGTTGGAGCTGTCACAAAATATCATTAGATCCCCTAACAACATCAAGATTGACTTTCAAGTTTCAACCTATCCATAATTTGCTTCAATTTAGTCATACCATTGCTATGTAAACAAATAAAATCCCACAACTCCAACGCGGGACGATAACAGGAATCGCTACATAAAGCCAAAAAAAAATGAAAAGAAAAGAAAAAAACTTACCCTCGGTAACAGCACTTGAGCTTGTAGCTTGTTCGGGTTGCTTCTGGTCCTCATCAACTTCCTGTTCTACAAAAGAAAACCAAAAAAAAAAAAAAAAAAAACATAAGTAATCAAACTAAAAGCATAAAAAAATTAAAAAAAGACGCAAATAACACAAATTACACAAACAAAAAAAAATGTAAAAACCCTAGAAAATAAATGCCTCAATCAAACACAATACGACGAAAACCAAGAAAGCAGCACCTGGCGAAGTCGCATGAGTTCCCGGCGACTAAGTTCCTGCTGGTAGCGTTCGATGGTGGCCCGAAGCTTGGCGCCATTGTCGGGCAAATTCTTGCCGGTAACGTCGAGTGTTCTCTTCTTGCTCTGAATCGACTCCTTCAGCTTGTGATCGGCAATAGAGTTGAGGTCGTCCTGATCGGAGGCCACCGTGGATGACGGCACGACGACGACCTCCCGCGGCGGCGAGTCGTGTTGAAATTGTCGGCTCCAGTCAATGGGGAGAGGACCCTGCGGTTGTTGTCGTTGCTCCTCCATGCATTTGAGGAGAGTGAGTATGTTACTGTTTTGTTACTTGTAACTTGTTCAGGGCGGAAATAGAAGATGGAATTGGTGGCAGTGAGGGGCGCGCCACCACTTGTGGGTTTGCTCCTCTCTTCTGCCCCTCCGGGTCCGACCAATAGTTTTTTTTAGGAACAGTTTTTCATTTTTTATGTCCCACTATAAATATAATAAATAATTGAGGTGACAAAACGGTTGAAGACAAAAGCCTGCAAAGGTTAATTTATTTTGATCTATCATACATAAGATTTTTATAAATGGATTAACCCGTTAAAAAGCTTATGTCAAAATTAATTAGTTAAATGAATAATTGATTCTTTGTTATTTTGGTTAAATGTGACATAGTGTGAATTTCACTTAATTTTCAAAAAAATATATATAATAATATTTTTATGTTGTTTAAATTATTAGTTTAATATTGTTTATAAACTAAAAATAAACTATTTAATTTTTTATTTATAAATAATTTTACTTTTTGTTAAGAATAATTACATAATTTCTTCAAAGAATGTAGTTCTTGAAATTAATTGAAAAGTCTTAAACCATATAAACATTATGATTTTAAATTTCAGAAGTTTTAATTAATATAAGATTTTATAAATATCAATAATTTGATTTTTTTTCATTTAGAAATAGTTTTAAAGATCAATTTTGAAAAATAATTTTTAAAAATAAGCTAATTTATTTAAAAAATTAAAAAAGAAAAGAAAAGATGGAGTCATGATATGTTAGAAAACTATTTTAGATATCATTAATAAATCCAAAAAACAAAAAATTAAAAAAAAAACATTTTTTTTATTTTTAAGTAGTTTTTAAAAATTGTTTTCACATAATAATTATTAAATAAATTTTAAAATTTTTAAAAACAGGAAACAAACAATTTTTTTATATTTTTTAAAAAAAATCACTCAAGAAACATTCAATTTAAAAGTTTTTTTTTTTTCCAAATAGTACATGATGTGTTTATTTAGCATGGTTGTGTTTGCATTCGCAAGAACAAGCATATTGGATGTTAAGCATAACTATTTCTTAATTCAAACAATTGTATTTAAAATTTGAACACTTCACTTTAAAAGCATATCCTTATGCTATATGGTAATACTTTAGTAGCACCCTATTTGACTCTAAGAGTTTTCTTTTTCTTTTTCTTTTTCAATTCTTGAAACACGTTCTATTCCATAAAACACATTTTTAATTATATATTTTACTTTCTAATTTAAAATTCAATTAGAAATAAGTTGACATAAGATTTTATATGAAATAACCAAAGAATTTATAGGTCTTATTATTTATACAATAGAATTTATCTATTTCTATTAAGAATTACTCTCTTTAAAAGAATTATAAGTAATTTATTATAGAAAAATAATTATGTTAATAATATGATATTTGGTCAATTTATCTTTTCCATTTTTTAAACTAAATTTATATGATTTAAATTTAACTGAGTTGAATTTATTATTATTATTATTATTATTATTATTATTATTATATATATATATATATATATATATATGGTAATGAAAAATATTTGGTAAGATAATTTTATACAAATTAAATTACATTTTTTATCATAATTAAATTATTTATTTAATTAATATATATAATAAATAAATAAATAAAAAATTATAAATATACAAATAAATATATTTAATAATAATTAAATTTTAAAATGTTAAAATTATATATATATATATATATATATATATTTTATTTTTATTTTTTTTTTTGAAACCACTTATAATTGACTACGTATAAATACCAAACATGAATGATAAAATCTTATTGAGGATTATTGTCTCATATTTTATCTTAAATTGTAATTTTTGGACTTACCTAATATTTACCAAAAGGTATACAATTTCTATCTTATGCTTACACTTTGTCATATATCCAATATACATCATCACACATGTCTCACAAAGATATCATATCATATGTTTCATAGTCTCATTTATATTTTCCATTTGGTTTGTATCAACTTGTTGGCTATATTTTACTTAATTATTGGTATTTACTCTTTCTATAATATGTCTAAATAATTATCCATTACAAATGTTTCAGTAACAAAGGAGTATTAGTAATGGATTTCTACATTTTTAATTCATTCTAAAAAATTACTCTACAAGATTTTTAGATTATTGATTTTCGCAATATAACATACATGAATACATGAATCACAATAAAAAGACTAATTTTGATCCATGAGAATATGTTATTTAATCTCTTTATTCTCCAATCTCCTTTACTCGATCTATCTCTTTATCTTTATTTCTCTTCTCACGCTTTTCCGATGGTTTATCATGAAGAAAAACCTTGTGATCAAAGACAGAACCATAATTCCTTTTATTAACCAATGTTCATCAAGTTGGTTACCGTAAGTTTTTATTTTATTTTATCTTTATTTTATTTTGACTTTCCATAATAACCAATAGGTCTTTATATTTTATTAAATCACATTTTTGTCCATCATTATATTTCACATAAGTCACATGATATAATTAATTAAATTAATTCTAACACTTGACTCATGTGATGTCATACAATTCCATGATTTAATACTTAAGTCATAATGCATATTAAAGAACTTTATATAAATTGGTTCTATCATTATTCATAATTAAAGATACAACTATAACAAGAGTCATAACAGTTACATGTCATTCAATCGACATACTCCCTTTCATGCAGTGGCGAATCTTCATAGTCATTAAGGGGGGTCATGACCCTCCCAAAGTTTTGTAACTTACTTGTATATTTATTATTTTGGCCCCTCCAATATTAAATATATCATAAAGAAAAAAGCTGAAAGAATAAATTAAATAAGAAAGATTAAAAATAATTTTATTATCTGACCTTTCTATCTTCTCTTACTTTTTCATACTCTCTCATTATCGGTAATATTTTATTAGTATTTAATTGATTCTCTAATTTCTAAAGAATATATTAAATAAGAAAGATTAAAAGTAGTTCTCCATCTTCTCTTACCTTTTCATATTCACTCACAAACGGTAATATTGATGGATTAATATTAAGTTATTTCTGTAGTTTGCACTTTCAAATTCATTGTTTGTCTCTCTTCCTCCCTTCTCAGATTCCATACTTGAAATTATATTGATTGATAAAGGTACTTTTTCTTCATCTTTTCACTGTTTATTCTATTATTGTTTGTTATTTTGATTTTTGTTGAAGAACATTTGTTTTTTGAGAAAACTATTTTTGTTTTTTATAAATTTTTATGATTCTACAATTAGAAAATTAATAATAGATTCATTTTGCTCATAGATTACAACTTGCTTTGGTTGCTGCTTCAAGAGAAGTTATTCCAGTTCATCAAGTTTTTCAAATTTGGCTTTTATTATAAATATTGTTTGTTCATCTAGTAAACGTCATGATGAATTACAAAGTGCAGAATTAGATGAAATAGCAAAATTGTTAGAACTTGGTGAACTTGAAACTGGTAAAGGAAAAAATCAAATTGGCACTTTAAAACGAGTTGGTGATACTCGTTGGAGTTCACATTTTCATTCCATTTGTAGTATGATGAAATTGTATAGTGCATCTTGTTTAGTTCTCCAAAAAATTATAATTGATGGTTCAACTTATTCTCAAAGGGGTGATGCTGATGCTGCTTATAATATTTTGTCTGAGTTTGAGTTTGTATTGATTTTACACATGATGAAAAAAATTATGGGAATTACTGATTGTCTTTGTCAAGCTTTACAAAAACAATCTCAGGATATACATAATGCTATGCAGTTAGTCTATTCGACTAAAATTTTGATTCAAAAATTAAGAGAAGAGGGTTGGTAAGATTTGTTGAAAGATGTAATATTGTTTTGTGAGCAACATGACATTGATATTCCTAATTTTAATTCTACCTATGTAGCACGACATGGTCGTTATCGACATCAAAAAGATTGTATTACAGTAGAACATCATTTTAGGGTGAACATATTTTTTATTATAGTGGATAAACAATTACAAGAATTAAATGATAGGTTTAGTGAGAAAACAATGGAACTTTTAACTTTAAGTAATGTTTTAATTTCAAATGATGTTTATAAAAATTTTAACATTGATCATATATGCACACTTGTGAACAAATTTTATCCTTTGGATTTTAGTGAACAAGAGAAGATTAATTTAAAATTTCAACTTCATCATTTTATACTTGATGCTCCTAACCATCCAGATTTGAAGAATTTGTCTACCATGCTTGAATTATGTTAATCTTTGACAAAAACAGGTAAGTCAGGTACATTTTACTTAATAGATCATTTAATTCATCTTATTTTAACTCTTCCTGTTTCTACAGCTACAACTGAAAGATCATTTTCTGCAATGAAGATTATCAAAACAAGATCTACGAAATAGACTGGAAGATGAAATTCTTGCAAATAATATGATCATTTATATTGAGAAAGAAATAGCTGAAAACTTTAGTTCGATTCCATTATTGATGAGTTCAAACATTTAAAAGAACGAAGGGCACAATTTAAATAAATATCTTATTTTTATTTATTATTATATAATTTATTTTATAATTGGCCCCCCAGACTTACTGGTCAAGATCCGCCACTGCTTTCATGTACTACTATATTATCTCTTTCTCCTTAATATGACTTTATAATGAGAAGTTCATAATGGGTTCAAACATAATATCATTTCAATAATAATAACATAATTTGTTTTCTTCATCATAATTTGCATGTATATAAATAAAAAAGAAAACACAAATTTCAGAAACTTATACATTAAAGATCTCAGAGTATCACAAGCATTAATAATAACATTAGCATTCAACATTCACTATTAGTAAACATGATGTCCATATTTATTATATGTTCAGCAAAACACTTGGGTGATAATCCCTTTGTTAAAGGATTAACAATCATAATATCAGTGTTAATATGTTCTATTGACACTCTCCGTTTTTGAACTTCTTCTTTAATGACAAAGTATTTCAATTCCAC